AGTGTTCTCCATCCCTCTCTGCCAATCCCTCCACTGGCCTCCACTCAGTGTCCTCCACCCCTCTCTGCCAATCCCTCCACTGGCCTCCACTCAGTGTCCTCCACCCTTCTCAGCCAATCCCTCCACTGGCCTCCGCTAAGTGTCCTCCATCCCTCTCTGCCAATCCCTCCACTGGCCTCTACTCAGTGTCCTCCACCCCTCTCTGCCAATCCCTCCACTGGCCTCCACTCAGTGTTCTCCACCCCTCTCTGCCAATCACTCCACTGGCCTCCACTCAGTGTGCTCCATCCCTCTCTGCCAATCCCTCCACTGTCCTCCACTCGGTGTCCTCCATCCCTCTCTGCCAATCCCTCCACTGGCCTCCACTTAGTGTCCTCCATCCCTCTTTGCCAATCCCTCCACTGGCCTCCACTCAGTCTCCTCCATCCCTCTCTCTGCAAATCCCTCCACTTACCTCCACTTAGTGTCCTCCATTCCTCTCTGCCAATCCCTCCACTGGCCTCCACTCAGTGTTCTCCACCCCTCTCTGCCAATCCCTTCACTGGCCTCCACTCAGTGTGCTCCATCCCTCTCTGCCAATCCCTCCACTGTCCTCCACTCGGTATCTTCCATCCCTCTCTGCCAATCCCTCCACTGGCCTCCACCCCTCTCTGACAATCCCACCACTGGCCTCCACTCGGTGTCCTCCATCCCTCTCTGCCAATTCCTCCACTGGCCTCCACTTAGTGTCCTCCATCCCTCTTTGCCAATCCCTCCACTGGCCTCCACTCAGTCTCCTCCATCCCTCTCTCTGCAAATCCCTCCACTGGTCTCCACTCAGTGTCCTCCATTCCTCTCTGCCAATCCCTCCACTGGCCTCCACTCAGTGTCCTCCACCCCTCTCTGCCAATCCCTCCACTGGCTTCCCATTGCCCAATGAATAAAATTCAAATTATTAACAATAACATATAAAACCATTTATAACTCTGCCCCAAATTACATCACCGATCTTGTCTCCAAATATCACCCAAACCGCCCCTCTTCGGTCCTCCCACGAGCTCCTGCTCTCTAGCTCCCTTTTCTCCTGCTCCTATGCTCATCTCCAGGACTTCTCCAGAGCTTCCCCCATCCTCTGGAACTCTCTACCCCAATCTATCAGACTATCTCCTACTCTGCTCACTTTTAGGCGATCTCTGAAAACCTATCTCTTCAGGGAAGCTTATCCTGCCCTCAGCTAATAATAAATCTTCTATTCCTCCTACCAGTCCATCCCCCACAGTTACTACCTGTTGTACCACTAGCCCCTCCCTCTTAGATTGTAAGCTCCCAGGATCAGGGCCCTCCTATCCCTCTTGTATTGAACTGTATTGTCTCCAGTTATATTGTAAAGCGCTGAGCAAACTGTTGGCACTACATATATCCTGTATAATAATAATAATAATAACAGCTGACACTCTGAAAGATGACAGATGAACATTCCCAAAAAACAATTTTTCAGGGAGGTGTTCCAGTCATATAGTCCCATCCCTGACTTTGTACATTGAGATTATTTAAATTACTTGGAAAACACCTGCAATTCCATAGTAATAGGGCTAAGGAGTTTGTGAAAACTTGATGAATATAAATGTGGGGTGTGTCCCTGATACTCATTAAACCTTGAACAAAATGTCTTCAAAATGACAGACAAATCAGATCATGGCATGACCTGGATAGATAAAAACTTTTACAGACATAGGAGTAGGCACTTTACAATGTGAGCTACCCTACTATATTTGGACTTTATATATATATATATTTCAGAACCATTTTACATATTTTCTAATATAATCAATATTCTGAAATAGCCCTTTTTATTCTAAAATTCAATTACCTTTTTATGACATAAAGAACAAAAATGATGACAATTTTAGTTCCTTGATGATATGTAATCTCTGCAATGTTTGTTCTTCGTTTTCTTAGATAAGCTAAACAAAACCTATAAACGGTAATAAAAAAAAAAAAACTTTTCTAAAGCGGAACTCCAGCTAAAAATAACAAGATAAATATTAATAGATAATTAAAAGATAAAATATTAAAACCATATTTTGATTCATTATTTCCCCCTCGATCCATAGCTTTTTCCATCAGTACATTTTTCTGCCACTAGATGTCTAATGGCCAGCATCATTCAACTCACTTAGCCCAGGTCACCCTGAATACGCCCCCCGGCTTGTGACTGGACCAGGGGCGGACCTGACCATCTGCCTGAGGGCCCGGGGTCAGTAGGGGGTCCCATGAGATGCCCCTGGTACCTTTTTCATAGGCTTTTTTGAGTTTGGGCAAGGACACAGGGGCCCCATGATCCCCTATTGCCCGGGGGCCCCATGAGTTGTCAATCCGCCCCTGGACTGGACAGTGAAAGGAGAAGCAGCACAGTCATGCGTTCATCTCTCTGTCACTCTGCCTTCTTCTCCTATCAGCATGTTTATTTTCAGCACATTGACTCTTGCACTTCAGCCCCGCTGTACAGGGACTGCAAGCGACTGATATCCATGTAATAAACATTCTATTCCCTTTCCAACTTTCCATGACCGATTTTCCTGATATTGAAAATATATTCTCTCACTTCCAGTTGTGTTTATAGTTCAGGAAGTGAAGGAGAATCTCCATAATGAGACATAGATCAAATCAAAAAACTTACACCCCCAATAATTTTTAACCATCCCTAGTGACGCCACTGTCACCGATGTTCCTGTAGCAAATCCTAGAGCTAGTGGCAACACTAAAATGCAGATGTAAATTGGCGCTTACAATATACAGTGGATATAAAAAGTCTACACACCCCTGTTACAATGTCAGGTTTCTGTGATGTAAAAAAAATGAGACAAAGATAAATCATTTCAGAACTTTTTCCACCTTTAATGTAACCTATAAACTGTGCACCTCAATAGAACAACAAACTGAAATCTTTTAGGAGGGGGGGAAGTAAACATAAAAAACTAAAAAAATGTGGTTGCATAAGTGTTCACACCTTCTCTCATAACTGGGGATGTAGCTGTGTTCAGAATTAAGCAATCACATTCAAAATCATAATAAATAGGAGTCCGCACAGCTCTGCCATCATTTAAAGTGCCTCTAATTAACCCAAATAAAGTTCAGCTGTTCTAGTAGGTCTTACCTGACATTTTCTTGGTCGCATCCTACAGCAAAAACCATGGTCTGCAGGGAGCTTCCAGAGCATAAGAGGGATCTCATTGTTAAAAGGTATCAGTCAGGAGCAGGGGCGGACTGACCATTTGGAAACTCGGGCACTGCCCGAGGGCCCAGGGTCAGTAGGGGGCCCCATGAGATGCCCCTGGTACCTTTTTCATAGGCTTTTTTGAGTTTGGGCCCCATGATCCCCTATTGCCTGGGGGCCCCATGAGTTGTCAGTCTGCCCCTGGTCAGGAGAAGGGTACAAAAGAATTTCCAAGGCATTAGATATACCATGGAACACAGTAAAGACAGTCATCATCAAGTGGAAAAAATATGGCGCAACAGTGACATCACCAAGAACTGGACGTCCCTCCAAAATTGATGAAAAGATGAGAAGAAAACTGGTCTGGGAGGAGGCCAAGAGGCCTACAGCAACATTAACAACAAAGACGGAAGCCTTTTCTTAGGAAAAAAAACATCCAAGCCCGGCTAAATTTTGCAAAAACACATCTGAAGTCTCCCAAAAGCATGTGGGAAAATGTGTTCTGGTCTGATGAAACCAAGGTGGAACTTTTTGGCCATAATTCCAAAAGATATGTTTGTCGCAAAAACAACACTCCATTCACCAAAAGAATACCATACCCACTGTGAAGCATGGTGGTGGCAGGATCATGCTTTGGGACTGTTTTTCTTCAGCTGGAACTGGGGCCTTAGCCAAGGTAGAGGGAGTTATGGACAGTTCCAAATTTCAGCCAATATCGGCACAAAACCTTCAGGCTTCTGCTAGAAAGCTGAACATGAAGAGGAACTTCATCTTTCAGCACGACAACGACCCAAAGCAAACATCCAAATCAACAAAGGAATGGCTTCACCAGAAGATGAAAGTTTTGGAATGGCCCAGCCAGAGCCCAGACCTGAATCCGATGGAAAATCTGTGGGGTGATCTGAAGAGGGCTGTGCACAGGAGATGCCCTCACCATCTGACAGATTTGGAGTGTTTTTGCAAGGAAGAGCGAGCAAATATTGCCAAGTCAAGATGTGCCATGCTGATAGACTCCTCCCCAAAAAGACTGAGTGCTGGAATCACATCAAAAGGGGCTTCAACAAAGGATTAGTTTAAGGGTGTGCACACTTATGCAACCAGATTATTTTAGTTTTTTATTTTTACTTCCCTCCATCTAAAAGATTTTAGTTTGTTGTTCAACTGAGTTGTACAGTTTATAGGTCACATTAAAGCTGTAAAAACTTCTGAAATGATTTATCTTTGTCTCATTTTTTTATATCACAGAAAGCCGACATTGTAACAGGGGCGTGTAGATTTTTTATATCCACTGTATATTGTAAGCGCCAATTTACATCTGCATTTTAATGCTGCCTCTAGCTCTAGGATTTGCTACAGGAATATCGGTGACAGTGGCGTCACTAGGGATGGTGTCACCCCCAATAATTTTGTACCCATATAACACTGAGCAGTAGAGCACCGAGCAGGCTAGTGCATGGGCGCAGCTCTCCCCCACTAGCCTGCCACAGTGCTCTGCCCTGCCGCTGTGGAGTGACAACAGGACAGAGCAGTAGACACTAGGCAGGCTAGTGCTTAGAGCTGTTCCCCATCTATCTGGCCACAGTGTCCTGCAGGGTGCTTGGCAGGCTAATTTCGGGCCAGCAGCGCACGATCACAGTGCGCACCCCACACCAGCCCCTGTAAATTATGCAGTCAGTGCCGGTTCACCGATCCGTTCACTTTCCATGGATGGGGGGGTGACACCATAGAGGTCGGATAGCACTTCCTACTTGATGATGTCACTCCTCTGGCGGGTGTCACCCTGGTGTGGTCCGCATCCCCTTTGCGACGCCACTGGCTGCCAGTGCTGACACGTGTGGCTCTGACACTGTCACCCTTTAGTGAGTCAGTGACCCAGGACAAGTCTGGGCCAGGGGCGGACTGACAACTCATGGGGCCCCCGGGCAATAGGGGATCATGGGGCCCCTGTATCCTTGCCCAAACTCAAAGCACACCCAAAAAAGCCTATAAAAAGATACCGGGGCATTTCATGGGGCCCCCTACTAACCCCGAGCCCTAGGGCAGTGCCTGAATGGTCAGTTCGCCCCTGGGTCTGGGCATATCCAGGCCTGACGAATGGCTGACAGCCCCCAGACATGACACAAGTCTACCCATACAGCTCGCCTACTTCTCTGCTCTGAAATAGAGGTTTATAACCCTCTGAACATACTAAACAAACACCTGTCTGCATCACTTTCAGGCTTTCCTAAATCTGTAAACAGAAAAATATGTTCCTTGCTTAGCAACACACAGGGGCGGACTGACCATTCGAGCACTCGGGCACTGCCCGAGGGCCCGGGGTCAGTAGGGGGCCCCATGATATGCCCCTGGTACCTTTTATAGGCTTTTTTGGGTATGCTTTGAGTGTGGGCAAGGACACAGGGGCCCCATGTTCCCCTATTGCCCAGGGGTGCCATGAGTTGTCAGTCCGCCCCTGGCAACACCCCAGCTGCTTGCGACTCCCTCGGGTGCTCACCTGGAAGCGGAGGAGGCAGCAGGGCCACCTGTGTGCTGTCAGAGAGAAGGGACGAAGCTTGGGTATGCCGGGGCACTTCCGCTCCACATGGAAAAGTTGGGGAGCAGAGGTAGTGGAGACGATGAGGGATTGACACCTCCTACTTGATGGTGTCATGTCAATAAAAAAGGAAAAAAAAAAAAGAAAGTTCAAAAATCAACTTTCCAGCCAGCTTGCCAACAACCAAATTAACCTGTCTAACAGTATGCGGTAAAAACAGGGGTTTAGTTAGCACACACTTGCAAATACATACGTAAGCCACAGAGCCACATCACGGCACCCTGGTATTCTGTGGTCCTAACTCTACAAATTTGAGAGCCCCCATAGTAGAGGCACATGCATTTAAAGGATAGATCAAGGGCGGGTGCACATCAGGGAGCCCACCCCTCTTAAAAGGTACAGGAGTGAGGAGTGTCATCAGGGGCGGACTGACAACTCATGGGGCCCGCGGGCAATAGGGGATCATGGGGCCCCTGTGTCCTTGCCCAAACTCAAAAAAGCATATGAAAAAGGTACCAGGGGCATCTCATGGGGCCCCCTACTGACCCCAGGCCCTCGGGCAGTGCCCGAGTTTCCAAATGGTCAGTCCACTTCTGGGTGTCATCCCTCCCACCCCCACAGTGATGCCATTGATCAGTATTCTGGGTGCAACTGTGTAAAAAAATATGCAGTATCTGTATCAAAGATGAGAGCGCAAAACATATGTTCCTCACCAGGGGGGGACTGACAACTCATGGGGCCCCCGGGCAATAGGGGATCATGGGGCCCCTGTGTGCTCACCCACACTCAAACCACACCCAAAAAAGCCTATGAAAGGTACCAGGGGTATCTCATGGGGCCCCCTACTGACCCCGGGCCCTTGGGCATTGCCCGAGTACCCGAATGGTCAGTCCGCCCCTGTTCCTCACTTGAGCCTCACTCGTTCATTCCGAGTTAATGTGTCAAACAGAAAATGGATCACATTATACAAATAATTACTTTCTTTATAATATTTTTTGGATATTCAATTCTGGGAACAGAGTAATTGAAAACCTTCCCTGGTGCAGATTTTCCTGATTTGTTGCCTGTAGGGTAGGCCTGTGCAAAGTGAGTGAAGTGATAAATGTTAATCAATACGTATTCAGGAACTACCTCTGCTCTTCTCTGGGTGAACAAAATCCATCGAGACAAGCTCAAAAGGAACACTAGATTTAAAGCACCCCAAAAGTGCCCGTTCTGGAACTGTTGGGTATTTCTGTTTCAGACAACTATTTAAATATCACAAACAGTGCAAATAATTATACAAAAAAGTATATATAATAATAATAGTCCCACTCCAATATAAGTGAAAAATATGTGAAAAAATTATTATAAATACAGATCACAAGTGCAAAAATAATGGTAAAAAAACAAAAAGAAATGTCCTTGATCCACAAAAATGTGCTTCCACCAAGAATTAGTGTTCGAATCAAAATACATACTGCACTCACCAGATTCTGGTGAAATAAAAGTGATTCACCATGGATAGCTTTTCAGAGCATTGGCTAGTGTGAACCTGGGCTAACAGTAGGTCACTTTAATGCCACCTATAATGCTGGCCTTTTAACAGCTTCCCATCCACCCTATAGCAGAAATACTGCTACAGGGCGGCACGGGTGCGCAAAATCACGTATATATACGTGATTTTGCATTTCCAGGTAGGGGGCCATTCGCAGCCATGGCTGTCAATCACCAGGTCGCGGCCATTGATTATTCACTGGCGTCCGGTGATTGCCGTGCATCTCTGACGGGGAGGAGAACTGTTTATAAACAAAACAGTTCTCCTCCCTGTCAGCTCATGCACATCTCAGCCATCCAAAGCAGTGTGATTACAGTGAAGCACACGGACACCATCCCATAGTAAAACACTCCCAGCACACAGTTAACCCTTTGATCGCCTCTCATGTTAACCCCTTCCTGCCCGGTGCCATTAGTACAGTGTCAGTGCTTTTTTTTTAGCACTGATCACTGTATCGGTGTCACTCGGGATGTCATTGCAACCAAGTCAGTTCCCCCCCAGTGTCAGATTGCCAGGGCGCGCGCTTTCAGCGCATGTGTTTTTTGTTACATGAACGCAAATGTGTGGCCGATCAACGTCATTTGTGTGCGGCCGGCGCAAAGGGGTTAACAACCATCTACTGTGAGATAAATTACCGCATGAAAATATATACAGTTGCAAGAAAAAGTATGTGAACCCCTTGGGATTACGTGGAGTTTTGCATGAATTGGGCATAAAATGTGCTCTGAACGTCATCTAAGTCACAACAATAGAAGAACACAGTCTGCTGAACATAATACTACACAAACATTAGATGTTGCCATGGTTTAATTGCACATAACATGTAAACATTCACAGTGCAGAGGGAGGAAAAAGTATGTGAACCTTTGGACTTAATAACTGGTTGACCCTCTTTTGGCAGCAATAACCTCAACCAAACGTTTCCTGTAGTTGCAGATCAGACCTGCACAACAATCTGGAGTAATTTTGGACCACTCCTCTTCATGAAACTGTTTCAGTGTAGCAATATTCTTGGGATGTCTGGTGTGAATCGCTCTCTTAAGGTCATGCCACAGCATTTCGATTGGGTTGAGGTCAGGACTCTGACTGGACCACTCCAGAAGGCGTATTCTGTGCTGTTGCAGCCATTGTTTTGTTGAATTACTTGTATGCTTTGGGTCATTGTCCTGTTGCATCACCCATCCTCTGCGGAGCTTCAGTTGGCGGACAGATGGTCGTACGTTTTCCCGCAAAATGTCTTGATAAACTCTGGAATTCATTTTCCCATCAATGACAACAATCCGTCCAGGCCCTGAGGCAGCAAAGCAGCCCCAAACCATGATGCTCCCTCCGCCATGTTTTACAGTGGGGATGAGGTTTTGATGTTGGTGTGCTGTGCCTTTTTTTCTCCACACATAGTGTTGTGTGTTCTTCCCAAACAACTCAATCTTGGTTTCATCTGTCCACAGTATATTTTGCCAGTAGTGCTGTGGAACATCCAGGTGCTCTTTTGCAAACTTCAAACGTGCTGCAATATTCTTTTTGGACAGCAATGGCTTCCTCCGTGGTGACCTCCCATGTACTCCATTCTTGTTTAATGTTTTCCTTATTGTAGATGTGGCAACAAAAATGTTAGCATGTGCCAGAGATTTCTGTAGGTCTTTAGCTGACACTCTGGGATTCTTCTTTACCTCATGCAGCATTCTGCGCTGTGCTCTTGCAGTCATTTTTACAGGACGACCGCGCCTAGGGAGAGTAGCAACAGTGCTAAACTTTCTCCATTTGTAGACAGTCTGTCTTACCGTGGACACATGAACATCAAGGCTTTTGGAGATACTTTTGTAACCCTTTCCAGCTTCATGCAAGTCAACAATTCTTGATCGTAGGTCTTCTGAGAGCTCTTTTCTGCAAGGCATGGTTCACATCAGACAGTGCTTCTTGAAACCAGTAAACCCAAAACAGGTGTGTGTTTTTTAAGGGCAGGACAGTTGTCAGCAACACATCCAATATCATCACACTGATTGGAGTCAAGGTTGGCTCACTCCTGGCTCCAATTAGCTCTGGGAGAAGTCAATAAGCTAGGGACTCACATACTTTTTCCTCTCTGCACTGTGAATGTTTACATGTTATGTGCAATTAAACCATGGCAACATCTAATGTTTGTGTAGTATTATGTTCAGCAGACTGTGTTCTTCTATTGTTGTGACTTAGATGACGTTCAGAGCACATTTTATGCCCAATTCATGCAAAACTCCACGTAACCCCAAGAAGTTCACATACTTTTTCTTGCAACTGTACGTAATTACCACACTAACTATATTTTACCGCATGCGTTATTTACCGCACAATTCTTAGTGAATTCACACATTTGTAAAAAATTTACCGCATGCTTTATTTTACCGCATTTATTCAGTCTTTTATTAACGCTTAATGAATTGACCCCATTGTCTCTAATGGGGGGGGGGGGGGGGGGGGGTACAATTTACGTCTTGTTTTTGGAAAGTCTTCTGCAAGTCAATTAATGTCTCCTTGGATATTACCTCATCTTACCAACCAGACTGAGAAAGTTAAAAGAAATTGGAGGTATATCTGTTCATGCTCATCATGATGATTGGCCCTCTCTTCTTCAATGGGCTCAATCTCACTCTACATCTGGCAACAAATTCAAAGACTTTGCATATTGTGGCAGACACAAACCACCTCCACTCCAGCTAAATGGCCAAGTCTGACTCCTCTAAAAACATTAGACTTAACATATAATCTCCAAAATTTGCTCCAACTTCATTGGCCCCTGTACCGTGACCTCCAAGATAAATCCTGTGTGCTTCACACTTATACAGTCAGGTCCATAAATATTGGGACATCGACACAGTTCTAACATTTTTGACTCTATACACCACCACAATGGATTTGAAATGAAATGAACAAGATGTGCTTTAACTGTCAGATTTAATTTGAGGGTATTTACATCCAAATCAGGTGAACGGTGTAGGAATTACAACAGTTTGCATATGTGCCTCCCACTTGTTAAGGGACCAAAAGTAATGGGACAGCATAATAATCATAAATCAAACTTTCACTTTTTAATACTTGGTTGCAAATCCTTTGCAATCAATTACAGCCTGAAGTCTGGAACGCATAGACATCACCAGACGCTGGGTTTCATCCCTGGTGATGCTCTGCCAGGCCTCTACTGCAACTGTCTTCAGTTCCTGCTTGTTCTTGGGGCATTTTCCCTTCAGTTTTGTCTTCAGCAAGTGAAATGCATGCTCAATCAGATTCAGGTCAGGTGATTGACTTGGCCATTGGATAACATTCCACTTCTTTCCCTTAAAAAACTCTTTGGTTGTTTTTGCAGTCTGCTTTGGGTCATTGTCCATCTGCACTGTGAAGCGTCCAATGAGTTCTGAAGCATTTGGCTGAATATGAGCAGATAATATTCCCGAAACACTTCAGAATTCATCCGGCTGCTTTTGTCAGCAGTCACATCATCAATAAATACAAGAGAAGCAGTTCCATTGGCAGCCATACATTATTATTATTATTATTATACAGTATTTATATAGCGCCAAAGGGTATGCTCAGCGCTGTACAGTAGCGAGGGGGACAGAACATGAGACAATACAGTACAATACAATACACGAGGGGTTCGAGGGCCCTGCTCTTTCGAGCTTACAATCTAGGAGGGAGGGGAAGGTGGCACAGGAGGGGATGGCTGTGGGGGATGGAGTGGTGGGAGGAGTGGAGGAGGTTAGTTGTTAGGTGAGGTCGGGTGTTAGGTGAGGTTGTGGTAGGCTTCCCTGAAGAGGAGGGTTTTCAGGGTGCGCCTGAAGGTGAGGAGGGTAGGTGACAGTCTGATGGATTGGGTAGGGAGTTCCAGAGGATGGGGGAAGTCCTGGAGAAGTCCTGCAATTGGACGTGGGAGGAGGAGACCAGGGAGCTGGAGAGTAGGAGGTCCTGTGAGGAGCGGAGGGCACGGGTAGGGTAGTATTTGGGTATCAGCTCAGTTATGTAGTTCGGGGTGGCATTGTGAATGGCTTTGTAGGTCAGAGTTAGCAGTTTGAATTTGATGCGTTGGGCAATCAGGA